CCACTACCGCTACCGACAGACGACATCATGGACTTGCTAAACATTTGCCTAACGTCTACTTACTTTCAGTACAACGGTAAACACTACAAACAGTTACACGGCACTGCCATGGGGTCTCCAGTTTCTGTTGTTATAGCAGAAATTGTGATGCAGAACATCGAGGAACGCGCCCTTTCGACTTGCCGACAAACGATACCGCTTTGGTTACGTTACGTTGACGACACATTCACCGCCGTTCGACACGACGAAATTGACGCATTCCACAACCACCTTAACGAACAAAACACTGACATACAGTTTACCAGAGAAGTCGAAGAAAATGGCAAACTTCCTTTTCTAGACTGCCTGGTAAGCCACAACGACAACTCATTACGAACGACAGTTTACAGGAAACCGACACACACCGACAGATTACTAGACGAGTCATCCTACAACCCTACATCACACAAAGCCACAACTATCAGAACTCTAACACGACGCGCACAACTAGTATGTGACTCGACAGACAGCTTATCCGACGAGAACAAATACCTTCACCGTGTTTTTACGAAGAACAACTACAACAACGACTTCATCCGACGAAACACTCACCGACCCACTACCACTACCGAAACAAACGACACCGCAACCCCTACGACTACAGCAACCATACCGTACATAAAAGGCATGTCTGAAAACATCTCGCGCATCTTACTACCCTTCAATATCCGCGTCGCCCACAAACCCATCACCACACTACGTCAGTTACTAACCAACGTTAAAGACAAAGACGAACCGAGGAACAGACAGGGAACGATTTATAAGATCAATTGTTCCGACTGCCAAGCCTCCTACATCGGTGAGACTGGCAGAAACCTCACAACAAGACTGACTGAACACAGACGGGCGACGAGGAAAGGTGATGTCAGCAATCACATTGCTGAACACCATCGACTTACCAACCACAACATTGACTGGGACTCTGCGCAATGCCTAACCTACAGCACTGACTATTTTCAACGACTGACTCTGGAAAGCTGGTTTACTAACTTAGAACAGACTCCCCTAAACAGATGTCAACAACTACCCGCCCCATACAAACGACTCATTCACGACATAAACATCACAAACGACCGAAAAAGAACAACCTAGCTTTACCGACAGACCGAAACAGACCAATCACGAACGACTTACGTCACTTGAGTCTTACAGCCAATAACATCACGACAAAACCAACCGATCATTTCACACGAACTAGAATAAGAACATTCTACTGACAACAATCACTCACTTGACTCTGATGATGACTTCCGCACAGGTTGTCGAAACGTCAGTCACTGCCACCGACAACAGTCCTTCTCAGGACTACACTCACCCGGACGATCAGACTACACCTTCACATGTTACCCCCGGGTTCAAACCATTTACTGCAGTACCCGATATTGTTCAGTACTTCCTGTTTTAAGTATGACACCAACAAGATTATTTTGCAACGTGAGTATTTCCGACGAATAAGATCTATTCTCTTCTTTAAAAAGTATTCAACATTCTCCCTAGTGGCATTTATGTTTCAGTTACAATTGAACTTGATGGGGCATTATTTCCTGCTCTCTTTCCAATAAACGAGACTAACTTATTTCATGATCACGGTCAGTATTTGTCAAGTTAACTGTTACTCCTGAAATGAAACTGCTTGGTTTACCTTAGGAATAAAAACCAGCAACAGCGTCACAGTTGTAGCCACTATCAGGCACAGAGCCAAAATAGCGTAGGGGGCTTTATAATACATGGATTCGTCAAACGCCAACATGACAATGAAACAAATTATGGACAACACGAAAACGTTGTAAACTGACATTCCGATGTACTTGGAGTCGTTCAAGGCAGGAATGTTAACTTTACGTGTCTCCCAGGCAAGAAAAAGGCCAAAGAACAGTTGCAATCCTTTGTAAGCAAACAATATCACCAAGAAGTACGTCTTGTATCTGCAGCTACATCGATACAACGCGGGAATGATAAACACATCCTGATCGGGAGCTTTTCGAATCTGTTTGGTGGTAAAAAAAAAATGCTGACTAAATCTAAGTGCTCATTGCCGAAAAAGAGTTGATCACTTTCTTTTGCTTTTTTTATTTTTACCTCGTTGTATAGTATGAAGTTTAATTAAGGAACTAAAGTTCACTCACTCACTCGATACTAATCTGTTAGACTATTAATTTACGCATTCAACCTGGATTAAAGGTGTTATATCGTGTGGTTGCTTTCCACTACATTTTAAAACCAGTAATATCAACCAGTACCGCATCATTCGAAGACGAAGTGGTATCATGGGGTCATGCACTTTAAAAAATTTTGGTCTACCTGGCTAGTGTTACGAATCTTGATTATCAACTTCCCAAAATATCTAAAAAAATAACCCACCTGATCTTCAAATGTTAGTATTTCAGCCAAGAAAGGATCTTTTCCAACCCAGACAGAAAAGAAAACCACATCGATTGCCACCAAGCTCACCACGATCAGAAGTAAATGAATATCCTTGATTGCCTGCAACCAAACAAGTTCCTGTAAGCAAAAAAGAAAATTAAAGGTAGTTCTATTTCTGAATTTCTCACCATTTTCTTCAGGCGAAGACCTGCGGTGAATATTTTGTGAACTCGCCAGGTTTTGCTGAAAATGGCTCCAAATGATAATGAATATCCAATGGACAGTACTGCAGTTCGAGCCTGTAGACATGACGAGGCAATTGATAAAATAATATAAGGACCTTTCTGACGATTAATAGCTCACTGGCACAAGGCAGAGAGATTCCCTCCCTCTACATACGAAACTATCTCTGTTTATTTATTTCTTTTTTTTTTATCCTCAGGCAACAAGTTATAGGCAATGAATCGTTGAAAATCGCAAATTAGCTAGTTTTTTTCGGGTCAAAATATATTTGAAATGCATGGACTTCTAACGGGTTGGATATCTACCTTTAACCTGAAACAAAATTTGTTTCACCCTACATCAGATAAGAATATCCTTTGTCCATTATTTTCTTTTTCTAAGAGGTAAGAGCTGTTTTTGTCCGCAGAGGGTAATTTGACGGACAGCATTTCAACAACTTCCTCTGGAGGTGCTTTTGCATATTTCTTCTTATGACGTACAAGATGTGATAAATGAAATGAACAAAGATGAAGATTAAAAGGAAAATATATTTCAGGGAGCTTTTGAGTTAAAAAGGTTTGTAAATATCGCAATTAAAAGATCTCGCTCCAACGAAACTTTCCCCCATCTCGAAATGTACATAGGCTTTCATCCATGCAGTCAGCTTTAAATCCTTTTAAAGCTCGATAAGAATGGCTGCCCCTTGCACATAGATGTTATATTCGTATGCGTTAAAGTTTCTTTTACTAAAGTGAAAGAGCAAGAGTAACTTTTTCTTACATTACAGTTTTTAGAGTATTCCTCCAAACTCAGGAACCTCGCATCCAGTCCAAATAAGAACACTGAGAAGTAACACAGTATGCATCCCAGAACAATTATATTATTCAGGTTTGGCGAAGACATTTTGATCATTCTGAAATAAACCAGTCAGTACTATTCATCGGATTCTGTTTCTTAGGTAATTTGGGTTGGTTGTTACGAGAAGGCAAGAGTAGGGAGAGTAAATTCAATCAACTGTGAAGCATCTATAAACTCAAGGAAGGGGTTATGAATTAAGTCCTACAATGTGAGACATAACTCAAGCATGTTTAATTAACAATTATTGGATTTGGTTTTCGTATGATAGCGATAATTATCAAGGCCGAAGTTTGTGTTATCTGCCGACGCCGAAGATTGCGAGGCGGATAACACAAACTAAGCCCTTGATAATTATCGCTCTGATGCGAAAACAGAATCCAATATTTTTTTTTTTATTATACATTGTCCTGAGCTGCACTCGTAAAGACAGGAGCACATCAAATCTATTGTCTGTTGGTATGACGTAAGAGAAATTTAATAATATTCTTTTACGGGCATTAAACTTATTGGTCTCGTTTTTGAGTGAACAAGTTCAATTTTTTTTTTGGACCTAACGTCGAGGTCACACAGGCTAATCCAGGTCTTTCATCGTCAGCAGAGGCTTTTACTAAGTTTCATACTTTCATCCCATCATTTCGGTTCATTTGTGGAGTATGTATCTTCTCCAAAGTATGAACTTAATGGATCTAACCTTCTGTTTCTGTTCTTGATGTTGAAAAGCAGGAAACCCAATGAAAAAACGATGCCAATAGCTGCAAACAGCCACAAAGTTACAAGAAGTGACTCGGGAATCAACATGTACATCAACTGTCTGTCAGTGTGGTCCTTTGGTACTTGATTATCTAGAGAAATAAAAAAAGGTAGGTCATTTCATGTTCAATAGGCAAGCATCATAGCAGAACTGAAATAAAAAAAATCTAATAAAACCTCTTTGCCTCTCACGCTAATAAGCTCAGTCAAGCCACATTTTTATTTGCAAACGTATATTTTCTTTCCAATTCTAAGGTTTTATCTTACAATTTTAAGCAAGGAAAGTGAACAGTCTTTAATTTACTTTAGCTCGTTTGTAGGTCGGTTTTTTTCTGTCTGGCAAATAACTTGGGCGACCTTGAGACTAAGATTTCCCATGCCTGGTTCTTGGGAAAGGGCTCAAATCTGAACTCTAAATTTAAGCACTAGGACCTTGTTTGAAAAGAACTTTCTCCCACATTTTTCCGTGGTTTACTTACCACGTAGTCTCTAAAATAAAGTAGGCATGCTTTGCGAGATTTTCAGGTGGCCCTATTGCGATAAGACGATCAATTTTTGTTTTGTGTTTCAAAATGTCTTCTCTTTAAGCCGTTTAAAACGAAGTGATCGAGAGAAATAAAATAACCAAGGGGTGACAGGCCACCCAAAGTTTCCACTGTGAAGTGCATTATAATTAGGCTACTACACAAATTTCATGGCAGAAAAATAGGGCGAAATCTAAGAAATATAGAAACTGAACTTTCTATACGAGGGTGAATCATAATTATTCCAGGGCATTAGGGTACGGAACGCCAGAGCAAGGTATCTTGAAACGGGACCTTATTGATATACCATCTCTTTTCGTTCAAAACTCATAGCAATATTGAACAGTATAAATGAATGAAAAGGGCCTTCGTCAGGGCCTTCCTCAAGGGCCTTACCCCTTCGTCAGGCTAACGTTCGAAACGTCATCTTTTTAACTCTTTACGGTGGCCAATTTACAATTTCAACTTAGTTGATATTACCAAAGTACCTTGAACAGTATAAATACAGACGTGGTGGCGAGTTTCAGTAGATGTTACCAAACGGACTAAAGGTTATTATTAATCCTTTACCTTTCCATAACGTTTTACTGGCTCCTTCATATAGCACAAATTTATCTTCCTTTGTGTTATGCTCACCAATCGGTGTCAGCGTCTTTCCGCCATCTGTTCAAACCGTACAGTTTAATATGTGAATGAGAATTTTAAAAAGAGCGTTATTTTAGTGTGAAGTATGTATAATCAAACCAAAAGCATACCAACCTTGATACTGCTTGACAATCAGTATTCCTTCTCGTTCTTCATTCTCGTTAAATGATACTGGACCCTGCAGAGACAAATGGTACATAAAGGAATGGAGTTACAAAAGTACAAACAGCTGCATTTTTTAACAAGGTGTTGTGCTACGATTACGTAATAAAAACTTTGCAACAGGGTAAAAAACAATTGTTTTGTAATGGCCTTGACCGACCGAAACAACCGTCCTTGTGGTCCTCATCAGTGCAGTGCTGACTCTAGGATGGAGGTAAAGTCATATAGCCACCCCAAATAATTGCACATGTGTTGTGTTAATTAATAATTAATTATAATAATAATAATTAATTAAAATAATTAATTATAATAATTAATTATAATAATTAATTATAATAATTAATTAATTAACTAATTAATTAATTATTAATTAATTAATAATTTATTATAATTAATTATAATAATTAATTAATAATTGCACAAGGTGTTGTGTTACGATTACGTAATAAAAACTTTGCAACAGGGTAAAAAACAATTTTTTTGTAATGGCCTTGACCGACCGAGACAACCGTCCTCGTGGTCCTTTTCAGTGCAGTGCTGACTCTAGGATGGAGGTAAAGTCATATAGCCACCCCAAATAATTGCACATGTGTGGTATCATCTAGGCCATGCCAGACTGCTCAAACTAGTAATAGTTAGCATCTGTGAGTGTCTATCTCGTCCGTCTTCAGTCAGAGATCTTTTTCACCCTCCTCCCGCACTTGCTAGAGATCAAGTTAATTATTGATTACAAGCCCGAAGCGCATAGCAAGGACGATCACTTTAAAAATTATTAAATAACTCAGCTCTTCGAATTTTCAAAATACATGTAAGATAGTATCTATCTTAGAGATAAGGAGCAGGGCGAATTTGTCCAGCTTCAAAGAATATGTGAGATTTTACTATTTCTTTCTCAGTCAAATTTGAACTTTATGTTGTACAACTAGGGTAAATTACCGAGAGTCCTTCGAAGCTGACATTGCGTAGTTTTGCCGCTATAGCTAAGGAAATGTCCCTTGGCCGGGTATTGTTTACCCCGTCTTCCAGTTTCATATCACCTGGCAGTGATCCACTAGTTTCCTTCAAGGCAAGCATGATAGCCCACATAGTGTCAAAGGCTGCTGCTGTTTCTTTCCTTCCCAAGTCACTCAGCCTTTGCACAGATGGGTAGCTGAGGGCTTGCTTCAGAGTCTATAGTTGCAATATAAAGTTAAACAAGGAAAAAGGAAAAAGATTTACTTCTCCGTAGAACTATCTATCGATAGTGCTATCGAAGTAAGAGACAAGGTCGAGTAAGGCTAAATTTTCATTTACTTTGAAATTTGTGCGAGTGTTTGTTAAAATGTTGTGTCAAATGATTCAGGAATGTAGACAGAAATGATTTGTTTCAAATGTTTTTTCAAATGATTCAAGAAATGTAGTTTGGGCTCTTTTCATATTCGTCTTCGAGAGTTTAGGTAGGTTAACACCTGCTTTGAATAGCACGAGGTGTTCATTCCTTAGAAAGTTTTTCGTGGAGATTATAGAGATTCCACCGCTCTCCAAGGCAGATATAACCATTCAATTTCGGAAATCAGCGTGCATCGTATACGAGAAATGCATAAATGAATACACAGATTGCAAACCATTTCAGTTCCCGGTCATATCGGTGCACGATATTTTTCTCTGTCTAAAACTTATATTTGATTTATTGAAATAGGTATATCCAAAGTATTTTTTACATGCAAGTAAAAACATTTAAAGTTTCCGGTTTTCTTGAAATTGATATTAAAAAAGGTACTTGCAATCAAAGAAGTAGCCGTAGCAAAGTGTTTAGAAAGAGATGTAATATCGTAAATATATTGAAGAAATATTGTTTATATTCATAACGGAGGGAGTCTTATTTCGGGGATTTATCCTCTACGCTTAATTGCATCCTTAGCTAAATTATTTAATCAATCATACCAGACCGGAAGCAGTAGCTGTGTTTTCATCTTTACGATTAAACATTCCATCAAAAATAAAGATTCTATCAGCTGCCTGCTCGTATTCTTTTCTGGTACAAAGGCCCGTAACGTTCTGATTTTTTCTCTTCTCTAAACTAACCAACGCGACCCAACTGTCAATAGTTCCTGCATGGGGGTGTAAAATCCAAACAAACTCCGGTCCAATCATCTTCATCTTGAATAACTATGATCGAAGAAGATGATTCAAAATGGAAGCTTCCTTAAATAGGGTGTAGGGGTGGACGATTTTCCTTAAAAAGTTAAGTAATAGAGTGTAGGGGTGGAGGATTTTCCTTAAAAAAATAAGTAATAGGGTGTACGGGTGGAGAATTTTCCTTAAAAAGTTAAGTAATAGGGTGTAGGGGTGGAGGATTTTCCTTAAAAAGTTAAGTAATAGGGTGTAGGGGTTGAAAATTTTCCTTAAAAAGTTAAGTAATAGGGT